AGTTTAGTTTTGTAGTTTAGTACCAACTGAGGAAATGAAGCTCGAGCTTAGTGCTATGATGGCTTGCCTGGCTATCTGACATGATAGCTATATTCTTGTTTTTGTAACCATTTTTTAAATTGAACGGAGTACATCTCTCATTTACATGGAGTTCATCTTGGAACTACTTCGGGCTTTATGCATATAAACATAACGATTGTAAAACATATTTTTATCATCATAAAGTGTACAGTAGGCTAATAAAAGATCTCAAGAAATAAAATTTTAACCTTTTAAACGTAAAAAGTAATATGTAAATATTTGTCTAATAATTTAATAATTTTAATTTTAATAGTATAGAGCAGGTATTGTTTAGTTATTGTGAGATTTGTTGTTCCGCGGTGTCATGAATTTTCGGTTTAATAGTTTTCATTTTTCCTGATCGAAATATTTTTGCCGATTTAGTCTGTCAGATATATCGTCCCGAGATGACGAAATTATTGTTTTAGTACCCATTTTTCAAATTGAACTGAGTACATCTCTCAATTGCATGAACTTCATCTTGGAAAATACACGTACATATATCAACAAAACGATCGTAAAACATATTTTTATTATCATAAAGTATACAGGAGAGGAATAAAATATCTCAATAAATAAAATTTTATCCTTTTAAACACAGAAAGTAATATGCAAACATTTTACTTATTGAATTGCCAAAAATGCAGTTAAATTCGATATTTTAAATGAGATAATTGAATAGTATAATTTAGGTATTGTTTAGTTATTCTGAGCTTTACTTATCGTCCCGCGGTGTCATAAATTTGCGGTTTGATAGTTTACATTTTTCCTGATCGGAATATTTTTGCCGATTTAGTCTGTCAGACATTTCGTCTGGAGATGGTGAAATTCGTGCAAAGTGGAATAAATTTCATACACTTTGTTTTGTGGACAAAATACTATGAGGATAATTCGACCGAGAGAACGTCCAAACTATAGTTTGTTTTTTTTAATTGCCTCAAATTTTAAAAAACAAACGTAAACACTTCATAAACTTTCATGTTATGTTGAAGTATGGGAGGCACCCTGTCTAATCATTAGCCTTGTAATCAGCCGTTTCTGATAGATAAGAAAAGCTGGTAGATTGTTCGAACCGACCATTTATCCAGGGCAGTAAATTCCAATTGAACAAGAGATGAAAGATCTGGCCTTCATAAAAGTTATGCCAAGTCGGCGTGTGATAAGAAATTGCGGCACACCTAACATAAAACAGAGCGGGGTGTCAACCCTTATCGACACACAAACCCTCACGGACGTTATAAAAAAGATTTGATTTCACAGAAATCACGCAGACCCAACAATGAAAATGTCTAAGACCGTCTGACAGACCAACGTCCGACCGAGGTCAGGTTGACCAAAACGATCTTCTACTATCACCTTAAGGTTCATCATTCAGCCGACTGCAGAAACAAAACGCATGCTAATATCAGGTACTTCGGGCTTTAGGTAAAAAAAAAAACTGCTGAAAAAGTGAAAAAGGAAAAACTGAAACCATGAGGATAAACTGGCCAAGAGAATGTTTGAACCCGCGGATGCGAATTTATAAGATATGCGAGGTTATGAATTAGTTGTTTTGTCGTGTCAAAGTTTAATATAGCTACTAACTTCCTGTTTTTGAAGTGTGAAATATACCACTGATTATGACAAAAGGTTGAACCGCATAACCGCGCAGCAAAAGACGCAGACCAAAACGATCGGCAACGATCAAATTGCAAGTTCATCATCCTTCACACCGCGGGATAATCTCATGATAATTTCTAGTACTTTGAACTTTAGTTCTGAAAAAAAATGTTATAACCTCTAAGGGCCTTGAAAAGCCGTGCGAGATTGGCCCCGAAATACAGCGGTGTTTATGATTTCTTTATCAATAAAAAATGGGCTATTTTTTTAATGAAACCTACATTATGATATAAACTTGTTTTAAATATTGCACGTAAGTCTGGATTTTGCAATAAATGTATGGAGGTTTCAGTGGGTAGAACTGCCCAGTTATCATCCAAACATGACGTACCATATTAATACTTTTTTCTAAAATTAAACTTTTTATTATTAGATCAACATACATACCATACCATATTAAAACACAGTTTATCCACTTTCACAGAATTTAGAAGACTAATCTACTTAAATCTTGAAAACGTCGGAGGGGTTGAAAAGGTTGTCCGAGAATGAACAGCTCCAATTACTTGTATGTTTGGAAATAATTTGTTGACTTTTGGTGCACGAATTCCTGGATAATTGGTACTTCTAAGTCCTTTTTTTCTGCCCGTCAAGCTGCTATTGCTGGCACTTCGCGTTTTCTCTATCTCGCGTATTTTTTTTGACAAAACGTGTTTTTAGTAGGAGGACCTGGCGAAATTCTGTGACTCTGTTATTATTTTTAATGTGTGGTGATTAGTGACCATTAGTCGATGATTATTCAGAAATAGTGCGTTGATGAAGGTTTCAGAGAAACATTTTCTTTATCGTGCCAACGTTTCGATCTTTATTGAGATCATCTTCAGAGCTCAAAGTGTTTGTCTTGTTTGCACTCTCAACACGATACGCAATAATGGCACACTTACGCAGAAAACAAACACTTTGAGCCCTGAAGATGATCTCAATAAAGATTGAAACGTTGGCAAGATAAAGAAAATGTTTTTCTGAAACCTACATCACACCAGACCACATCTCACGATGTCTGAATAATTATCATTTTTAAGTTTTCTAATCTTGATTATAACAGCACATTTCAGTAGTTTTGAAAATAATAATTTAAATTTTTGGTGGTTTAGTTGGCACTTCCCTGTTAGTTTGCTATTCTTAATACTTTAATTTTGAAAAGTTTCCATTCTTTTTTGTTTATTAGGTGCTGCAAATTCCAATACTTTCACTACCATAAGTGATTAGCTGTCCGAAAATGCCTTGAGAATAAGAAGCCATAAATCAAATTGCAATCCATCACCGCGAAGAGCATAGGGTTTTCGAAATAAAAAAAGTTTTTATATAGACTATTTTTGTACATGAAATCAACATTTACATAATGCAAACCTGCTTGAACTATTGCGCAGAAAATGTCTAAACTTTGCATATGTGATCAAATATTTTTTATACATTACAAGTAAACAAATACGGACACTAGTCCTTGGAGCGTCTGTCAGAGCCACTATGTACAAGAATAAGTTTACATATTATTAAAAGATTCACTCAGATAAAAAATTACACAAATACAAATGAGTATTACACAAAATGACAAAAGTTACACTGAAATATTTAAAAATTAAATTCCCCAATTGGCATATTTCTGTATAATAATGCGTATTTTATAAGTAGGGCCAGATTAACCTAATTATTTCTATTGACTAAATCGAAAAGTTCTCTTTTTGGGAGGGACTTTTTATTAAATCTCTGTACTCTATAATAGTTGAGGATTGGGCATACAGCGACAAAGCGGCAACAGCTTTCAGATTTGTCCAAATTACATAATGAACGCTTAAAAGTTTACTGTCAAAAGCCACTGCAATTCAGATTCATCATTTCTCTCCGTAGCCTAATAGTTAGTTTTTTTTGTTAAAACGTTACAATAAATTTTTGTGAAACTGAAAGTGTTATGCTGCCTATAGGATTCTCTCCTTTTCTTTTGTATTAATGGCAGCCGTTGTTTTCAGCGTAAAAATCCTTTAAAATGAAGTGACAAGATGTATAGGGTCATCAGCCGGGCCATCTAAAAAGACACCTTATACAACATATTTTTTTTTTTCAAAACGCAGTCCAAAACTAGCTAAAATTACCTTGAGATTTCCTCCTGTTGAATCCTCAGGATTTACAGGGTCGTATTTAAAATTTTGAAGTTGAACTGGGTCTGAGGTTCCCTATATATTTTCTCTCCAAAAAAAAGGTAAAAATTCGAAACTTGTCTAAAATTTATTAAAGGAGTATTTTGTGTTTTTTGATAGCGTCGTTGGTTTAAGAGAAATTCAGCCCGGCCATCTAAAAAGGACACCCTGTATATATATAAATTTGTGTGCGGTGATTAGTGACCGTTAATCGATAATTATTTAGAAATCGTGAGATGCGGTCTGGTGTGATGTAAGTTTCAGAAAAACATTTTCTTTATCGTGCCAACGTTTCGATCTTTATTGAGATCATCTTCAGGGCTCAAAGTGTTTGTCTTCTGTGTAATTGTGCCATTCTTGCGTGTCGTGTTGAGAGTGCCCAATAAAGATTGTCAATAAATAACGAAACGTTGGCACGATAAAGAAAATGTTTTTCTGAAACCTACATCACACCAGACCGCATCTCACGATATCTAAATAAAGTACTAGATTTACTATATTTATGGTTACTTCTTTGTTATAAGTTGTGAATAATCAAGTATTCTGTATTTCTAAACTGACCCAACAGTACATTTTCCCAATTACGTTTTATATAGTCTTAATATTAAGAGGGTTAGTTTTGTAATCAGCCGTGCCCAATCGATAAAAAAAAGCTCGTAGATAGTTGGAGTAGACCATTTTTCCAGGGCAATAAATTTCAATTGAAAAGAAAATAAGAAAAGAGGAAAGATCGTGGCCTTCTTAAAAGGAATGCAAAGTCGGCGCGTGAAAACAAATTGCGGCCGAACTGACATAAAACAGAGCGGGGTGTGTCAACCCTTATCTAGCATAAAAAGACCAGTACTCAATTTGAAACGACGGAAAAACATAAAACCCTGGAAGAGCTGTTAACAATTTACATAAACAAGTCCTTTTGTTATTGTGGCCGTGTCGGGGGTGGGGGGTGGATAGGCGGGAGAGGGGTAGGCGAGAGGGCTGCCTTCAGAGGGGATGATGGCGTTTGCGTGGGCAGTTCTTGATTTAGAGTCGAGGGGTGGGGGATCGGCGAGGGGGTAGGGGGTTGAAGGCGGGACCGGCTTCTCTGACTGGCCGCTTCTCTAAGGACGAGGGCGGAGGGGAAGAACCGGTTCCGGGCTCGGCCGCTCCCCGCCAGAGCGCAGTCGGACGCCCGTCGCCAGTCGCTCTCCGTCCGAGCCAGTGCCACCATCTCCGTGATACGCACGCACCGACGGCTTTTTGTAAAAAAAAAAAAAATAGTGTTCATTGTGATAAGGTTTTTTTTAAAATTGTTTATCGGACTGCGATCCGGATGGACTAGTGTTCTGCAAGCTGTGTCCGAGCGTGCCCTCATGGCGATGTCTGCGTACCCACAGTTCGGCTACTCGTACCACGCTACAGCTTCACCGCCAACGCCGCAGGTAAATTCCAGGAAAATTTCCAATCCATGATTTTCCATGGTACAAAACGGGCCAAGTAAATACACAACTTGCATACACACATCCGTTTATTCCCTAAACACACAGATACACATAAAAAGTATCATTAAATAATCAAAGTATTTTCAAGTGAAATACAAAAATAAATAATTTCCTATGTTAAAATTTCATGTTCATATTTTAAACCTCCCGAATATGCCATCAGTTAAAAGTGTAATATTTTCTATTTGTCCCCGGTTTCTATGATCACAGTCCGTATTATATTTAGTTTATAAAGGATATCAGGTTTATTTAAATCTTCATAAGTCTGCGGGATCATAATTTAAATTTTAATATAATCGACAAATTTTATAATCGAACAAATAGTTATAAAAGTCGGTTTTTATCTTTATTTCATGTTACTACATAACGGCAAATATTCTTGATTATGATTTACAACTATTTCTCTTAATATTTTATAGCAATTGAAGTTTAAAAAGCCTGACGGGGGTGAAAAGTTCCTTGAAAGCTCGACTAAAGAACTGAGTGTTTTCTTTTCAAATCGGCCTTATCCTTGATCGGTTTTTAGTAAAAAGTTATAGCCTAGGATAAACCGTATTTACATAAGTCCCAATATGTCCCGGAAGACCCCGTCTACTTAATTTTGCCGCTAAACTGAATAGAGATAAGAACATAATAATAAAAGGAAAATAAAGCAGAGAAATTATTATAACCGGTTTGAAAAATTTTTTCTTCACTTCAAATTTGATTTTAATTTAAGTCGTTAAGAGCGGTCAGGAATAAAGTATTTTAGAAAAACACATTTTTCATTTTTTTGCCGACGTTTCAATCTTTATTCGGGTCATTACAAAGGGCCTAGGTTAATTACAAAAAACGTTGATTATAAAAAATACAATATAGATGTAAATATAAATTTTGAACTAAGTATTTCTTAAAACATCTTTTCCATGAAAGTTCTCGCTTGTTAAGTATTATAGAATTATAATTGAGGCTGATTAAATAGGACTTATTTGGGTAAATGTACACAAAACGGTTTATCGATGAAAGTGTATGTTCATATACACTAAGACAGTGAGATATAAGTACATATGATTCTACCTCCCCTGACTGTAAAAATATATTTATGTTTAATTAACCCTGCCATAAAATTAATAAAAGCCAAATTTAATTTTAATTTTCTATTATAAGTTTAATCATCCTCAAAACAACTCAATCAAGTGAACTGGGTGTAGAGATTAGTGACCGTTAATCGATAGTTATTCAGATATCGTGAGATGCGGTCGGGTGTGTTGTAGGATAAATTCACTTTTCCACATCCTAAATGTATTTGTTAAATGTAAACATTGTTTGTAAATCCCAGGCCCTGAAGATGATCTCAATAAAAGATCGAAACGTTGGCACGATATAGAATATGTTTTTCAGAAACTTACATCACACCCGACCGCATCTCACGATATCTGAATAACAACTGAACTGTTTTTTTTTTTTTTTTTTTTCGCCTTGTGTTGTACCGTAGAAACGGGTTTATAGATGAAAGGCTCTTTCCAAACTAACGGACGGATTTAAAATTGAAATTTTATCATAGGAAAGAACACAATTTTACTAATTATTTATTGACTTTTCTTCAATTCTTTATAATATTTAGTAAATAACCTTTCAATATTGATACCGACGTGAAAGAAAATATAATTCTTACAAATCTTTCGTTTATGTATTTTTAATTTTTATATCCAGGCTTAGTTTTAAAATGTTGAACTTATATAAAAAAACAATTATTTATTACTTTCATTGTAATTCGGCCTGTTCCTTCCTCAGAGTTTTTGAGCCATTATTCCGTTCTAATATTTTATACTGATTCAAGTTTTAAAACGCTGATTAAGATGACAGATTTTTCGAAAGCTCCACGAAGAGAGTTTTATTTCCGATTGGTCTTATCGCTAAATTTTAATACATAAGTCGTATTGTAAGACCCGAAGCGACTCGGATTTGAAGATCCTTGTACCTGGTTTTGCCACCGAGGTAAATGATGAGAATTATAATGTTAAAAGAATAAAATAAAATTAATGAAGAACAGAGTGACAAAAGAGTTTGGTTTTATTTATTATAATACTACGTTGAAGATAGGCCAAACCTCCCCCCAAATATAGAGTTTGATTGTTATTTACCCTCACTGTTTTGGTCCGTCAGACGCGCTTCACCCTCCCCAGCAGTAAATTGTTATTTTTTAATTATAAAATAAATAATAGTGCACAGTATAAACCCGTCTAACAATTAACCCGTCTAAAACAACAAGAAGAAATCGAAAAAGTTAAATTCTCTCTGTTATAACTTTGTATGTAAAGAATATCCTGTATCTGTATTAAATACATTTCAGAATGTGTGATAAAACGGGGGGCAAATAGAAAATTTTAACCGATAGCATATGCCGATGACGCATTAAAAATTTTTTAAAACAATTTGGAGATAACGTAAGATAAGCAGACCCACGGTATGCAGATGACGAGGAGAATCCTACTGTTTGAATACTTCAATGTAGTATATCGACAGAAAATAAAATTTAATGAATTTTGGCGATTAATTGCATTCTGTCTGAGACGTACCTTCGCTATTTTGTCTGGATGATTTAATTCTGAATACCTGCTATACCCACCACCGTAGAAACAAAATTTGATCAAAGGCATTCTGACCAAATTGATCGGCAACGACCAAATTTCAGGTTCATCACACACATACAACACGGAGAAATCTCACATACGAAATAACTATGAAAAAATTTAAACTGAAAAATACATAGATAAAAGAGAATTTAAGAATAAAGAAAAATGTATCGGCCAGATTTGAAAGAAACGTGTTTGTCTATTGAAATCAAAACATTTATTTTATTATGTATAATCCTTAATTATTTATTGACTAATTAATAATTTAAAAAGCGATTATGCCGTGTCTATAGTTATAAATCATAATCATAAATAACAAGACAAATAAGTGCGGTTATCTAATAACATGAAATAAAATATAAGAAAAAAATGTTCATAGTTGTTTGGAGGATGATTAAACCTGTTATAGCAAATTAAAATTGACCTTATTAACATTAGGGGAGGGTTAATTAAATAAAAATATAATTTTACAATCAGGGGTGCTAGAATCATTATCTATTTATCTCTCACAGTACATATAATATGTTATTTACTTATATATGTATTTACTTATAATATGAACAGTTTACTTTATTATTTTAAAACCGCTGTTTTATTCTTCTATGGTTTGTTTTCTTCAAGAAACTGATTATTTAATATATTTTTTATTTTTTGTTTAATTTTGGCTTTGGAAGTGACGGGACCGCTGTGACCGAGTCGTTAGGGTAGTATGGAGGGAATTTATTTCATTTATTTTCTTTCACCTTTTAAGTCGTATCTCCTCTTCGTCACCCTGTTTTTCATTTTTTTCATTTTATTTTAAATATTATAATTCTTCATATTCACCTCAGCGACGAAACCAGGAACATGAATCTTAATTCGGAGCCGTATCGGGACTTACAACACAATTTATTTTAGGTTTTAACTTTTTTTTTTGAAAAAAAAAAGTTCAGCGATTAGCCCAATTGTAAAATAAAACTCTCAGATCCATCGACCTTTCGAAAAATCTGACAACTTAATCAGCCTTTTGAAACTTGAATTGATATAAAATGTTAAGAGGAATCCTAGAGGCTGAATTGACATAAAAGTAAAAAAAAAAAATCAATGAAAATTTTGTAAAATTGTTTTGTACTTTAACCGAGCCGTTAATCTTAAATTTAATTACCTTTAATCGTTACTTTTTATTCATGCATTAACAGTTAACTCAAAAAATGAAAATAAATAGATCAAATTGAAGAAAGTATACGAGGCGCTTATTTTTTCAATTTATCGCACAATTCACTGTTTTGTTTAAGGGATGGTTAGGGTGTTGTTTTGTTAAAAAAAGAGAAAAAATCAACCTGCCTATGCATAAGGACCAGGAAATTTTCTCGTGAATTTTATGTTGTTTATTCTTTACTTAATAAAAGTCACGCGCTATCTTTTTAGCTTAAATCGTTAATTTTTACTCATCTAATCACAGTTAACGCAAAATTCAAAAATAAATGTTTCCAGTTTGAATAAAGTATATCTTTGGGCTTACGTTTGCCATTCATCACAACTGCATTTTTGCAAGACCCAGGTCAATTTATCATACACTTCACTGTTTTGATTAAATTAAATAAAATTGGCAGCCAAACAAAAAACGTCAGCCTGTCTATGCACAGAAGCCAGGAAATTTTAAATGTGATTTTTAATTTGCTTTTGTCTTACTTAAGACAAGCCGTGCGCGAAATTTTCACCTTAAATAGTTAACTTCTACTCGCCCGTTAACAGTTCAGGTAAAAATTAATATATCAAATTTGAAAAAAATCATATTGAGGGGCTTACTTTTGCCATTCTTCACAAGTGCAAATTGTATTTTTCTTAGCCCTCGGTCAGTTTATCACACACTTTGTATTGTTACAAATAAAATAAATTTAAAAAAAGTCAGCCTGCCAATGGGCAGAAACCAACATTTTTTCTATGGTTGTTAAGTTATTTAAAATTTTAACATTTCAATTTTCAATCCTTCGGTTAATTTGGAGAGTTTTGAAATAATAAAGTGGATTGTTCATATTATAAGTAAGTATAAATGTGAGAGATAAGTAGATAATGATTCTAGCACCCCTGAATGTAGAAATATAGTCTATTTAATTAACCCTCCCTTAATATTAATAAGGTCAAATTAAATTTTAATTTGCTATAACAAGCCTAGTTTTCCTCCAAACAACAATGAACATTTTTCTTCATTCCATCTTATTACATATTGCACTGTCTCATTTTTTCTGATTATGATTTGTAATAACAATCTCTTCTTACCTTCTCTTTAATTATTTATTTTTAAATTTGTATACACTGAATATTTTTTTGACTTGTACAAATTGC